ACTTTTAGCAAGCACTGCAGACCTATCGCTCTTCTCCACCTCCCCCTGAATCCGCCATTGCTTACGACTCTCACTCTCCTTGTAGACAGACTGGCACTTTGCATCACCTTCGTCCCTGGTTTTTTTTTTAATATTTTCAAATATTACTTATTTCACACGCCAGGCTCCTACGGACGATAAATTTGTTCCGCTGAAGTTGTTTGTGATGAGAAACAAAGCGTCCTCGAGTCACCGTAAGTGATTTAGCTGCTCGCCACTTGCGCTTTCTAGTGAGTGGTCCAAGACGTAAATATGGTTCGTTCTGTTGTAATTACTACGAATCCAGCTTGCTCTTTCAGCCAATACCTGTATTTAATATAGCCTCAAATCACGATTCATTGTTTTACAGCTTCTTTCATATGTTTCCGCGTTACTCCGACTTTCGGAAAAGAAAGCAAATTCGTCAGTATTGAGGGTCAATCGCTTGGTTTTATTGCATGGTTCGTGTTTTCCAAATGAGTCAAATTTTAGATATTAAAAAACGAAAATTTCCAGGGGCTTCAAATTTTTTCTCGATTTCGCCGAAATCTTGCTTTCTTGTACAAAACTTTTTTTAAACTTCCTTTTTTCGTTTGTTTTCTTATACAGCTTATGATCGAAGCTGTGCCCGACTTCTAGGACTAAAATAGGATTCGCAGGCGGATTGCCCGGGTAATCTCGGTATCTTGACACTTTTGGTTTTTTTTTTTTTTAAATGCTTTTACTTAATGGATATGTTTGAAATTCTTGGGCGACTTAACTTTGGTCGTGTATTCCTAAGCGTATGCGCTGATCAGCTGCTGCAAAAATTTGTGAAAGCTGAATTTGAAACCTTGAAAAGCGAGCATCCTTCCGAAGTCCCAAACTCCTAATTTTTTGGCTTTCGAGTGATTTCCGTGCCAAAATGCTGATCAGCTGTAAAAATTTTCAGCCTCTTTAATGCCTTGGGCTGTTTTTGCGAAGTACTGGTACGAAATTTTAATTTTCAGGCCCACCTGGTACAGGAAAAACATCTCTGTGCAAAGCACTGGCGCAAAAATTATCAATTCGACTTGTTCAAAAGTATAAAAAGACATTTTTTGTGGAAGTTAACAGTCATGGTCTCTTTTCGAAGTACTTTTCCGAGGTAATTTTTGTTATTTCGGAAAAATTACTCACTTTTTTCGTATACTTTTTTTGCAATTACTTGAAATATTTGGTGTAAATTCGAATTCTTTGTTTGTTTTTTTTTTTTGCCTGTGCAGTTGGCAACTCTTCGAATTTCCCTTCCTCCTGCATGCCGGAAAGGATCAAAGCGCGGCCAGTATTAGCCCAAGTGTTAGGTTACCGCGTAGGGATCATTCCTGCTAAATAGCGATCTGGGAGTTTAGTGCAAAAACGCATGATCGCACCCTAGCATCTCCTAGCATTCCTGACATCCCTTTCATCTCTTGACGGAGGCGCTTGATAAGACAGTAGTCCCCAAGAAATCTTTGCTGGGTCTTAAGTATGAGGACCTTGTCTGAAACGTTATTACTCAAGGCACGGTGAATTTTATCTTACTAATTAGGAATTCGTATAATTAATTTTTGTCATGGATGGACCTAGGACGGTTTCCCGCGCGGGGGGGGGGGG